AAGCAAAAGCAAAAATAAAAATCGAGCAGGGGAAACAGAAAAAAAATTCGTGCACCAGAAAAGTTTGAAAAAAAAATTCGTGCAGAGACTTTTCAATAGGGAAAATTATAAGTTGACAGGGCCTATCAGAGGTACAGTGTAAGGGTGGCCCCCCAATTTGGAAAATAAAAGAAAAATAATTTGGAACGTTTTTTGATATAAGTAATGGTGTGAGAAAAAATTTTCTAAACCTAAATGTTGCGGATATTGGTGCAAAAAACGCGTTTTAAGCATGTTTTAAGAAGAATTTGTCATGGAAAATGTGTTTTAAATCTTAGCTGAACTGATGTTAGTCCGGCAAATTTTTTTGACCCCTTTTTTATGTCCTGAAAAACCGTTTTAAGTCCTGAAAAGATTTTTTCAACCCTTGGCAACAATTTTTGGAAAAAAATAAAATTCGAGCAAGGGATTATTAAAAAAAAAATAATCGACACAAGCAAAAAATTTTGAAAAATTATCGTACACGATTTGTTCCTTGATGGTGTACTCAGGTGAATATGATGTTTGTGATGTTACTCTGAGTGTATATCCACACCGGGCAAGCTTGAAAAATATTCCTGACCACGGTGGTCAGTTATCACGTTGACACGTTGGAATTGGTGTTTTAAGTTTTTTTCTAGTTTAGTTTTAGTTCAAACCACCAATTTATTTTTAGGGTCTTCGCTCGAAACGTCGACGTTTTACTTGTATTTTTCAGGTCGTTTGAATCCCCATCAATCCTCAATTTGCAGAAAATACATGAGCACTTTCTATTGCTGTCACTGCATGGTTCATGGCCTTGCTAAACTATGAAACATTTTTGCGGAAGTATATTTGATCTCCAAACGTTTTCCCAAATGTTTCGTGTCTTCCATGAAACCTTTTGTCCATGCAGGATGCAAAAATGTTTCCTAACGCGCAAATTTTGAAACATATTTTCTTTCCCACGTTTGGTTTCTATTATGCGGGCAATATTTCCGCGCGGCTTGCCCACTTTTCGGAAAGATGGCTAGAGACCAATATATAGTCAGGCGGATATGTGTAAAAATTGTACTGCACTTGAGGTAAAATGCATGGAATTCAGCAAAACGTTAGTTCTCAGTGGGCTTAAATCTTAATATAGTGCCATCCGAAAAATTAATGTCGAGGCCTCAAAATGAAATTTTTCTTACAATTTTCTCAAAAACCCTCTTCAAGTTTCAGGTTTACCTATATCATAGATATCAGATATCTATGACCTATATATGTACCCACACATTTTCTTTCCTTCACTTTTTTCCGGATATAATCTGAACAGTAAATTAAACTATATTCTGTACGAAGTCTTATATACAGTTACATATCCGACATTATAATACCTTATTGAATTCTAATCGTTTAATTGGCTGTTTATGGTCACGTGATATTGAATAGAAAATTCCATTTCCCAAGAGTGCAATGTATTATATAAAACAAATAATGAATGTTTATTCGTGCAATGGTAAGAATATTTTCATTCGGTGAAAGATAGAATGAAAATATTCTTACCATTGTTTTGTTCGTCCAGTTATAGTTTTAGTCTGTCCATTTGAGTGTCTGTTGCTTGCTTGACTGCAACTCATTAGGCCCATGCACAGTAATTTTAACTTTAAATAGTTATTGTTATGCTAGCAAAGTAAAATAAATAAATAAATAATAAATAATAAATAAGAGGCAACTTTTTCCTATGTCGCGTATTCGCGATAAAAAGTGTTCAAAACCCAAATCTTTTTGGCGTACCTCTCAAAATTGTTTTGTTTTAGCTAGCTGTATTCTCTAGTTTATATAGTTGGCTACCTTTTTGAACGCATTTTCCGGTTGAAAAACATAAAAGAGTAAAAAATAAATCAATGAAAACACAATTGTCAATGTGACACCATATATACAGCAATCATATATTTACATTATTTTCTCTTTGGCGCACCATCTAAAATCTTTTCAGTTTGGCTTATTTTACAGACAAAGCACTAAACATACTTTTTAAGTTTGTTTGCCGCTCGAGAAACGTATCAAAAATTAAAAAAATTAATATAGTCATTTCCAAGTGGGAAATTATATTCACATTAATTACTCATTAGCTTTGAACGCATGTTACGTAACATACAAAAGATCCTCTTCATAATAAGTACATTGTCATTGAGAACTATCATTTTGCCAAATATAATGCTTTTTACCTCAAGTGAACAATTTCACCTAAATTTGCCACATATCCGCGCCACATGTTTCTGCAATGTTTCCCAGTGTGCACCCGGGGTACAGAAACTGTCATCTTATCCTGCTGATATATTAACGCGTATTTTTTCAGATGCCAACTGATGCTTTGTACTTGTACAAAAGGTCGTCGGCAGATAATGGCATCATTCAAAGTTTGAAACGACTCAAAGCCTCCTCTCAATGCACAGCCGCAGTTCAGAAAATGCAATGTGTTGCTGTTTATTGCTCCGAAGATAAAAAATACCTGCTCACGGAATTTACTGAAGCTGACTGCAAGAACACCACAAAACTCTGGTAAGCAACTTGGAATGGAACGTGATTATAATCACCATCATCATATCATTCTTGTCGTCATCATTACCATCATTACACTCACCATCAGTGTCATCATCACCATCATGATCACCATCATATATCAACATTACCATCATCATCATTACCAACATCATCATCATCACCACCATCATCATTATCACGACTACCATAATTACCACCAGTTAGTCGGATTTGTATATAATGTGGTGTACCAATAAGTTTTAAAATATTATGTTCATTGTATTTGTAGTGTTGTTGATCCTATCGAAGCATTAATAAAGTTAGTTCCTGATGTTGAAATGGCACTCCGTCCTACCATAGAAAATATTGAAGAAACATGCGCGGTTTATCCAACTGGTTCCAACAAGCAAGCACCACCACCAACAGTAGGAACACTACGTTCTGGTGCCACCGTCAAGATAGTCAAAGTAAGACCAACTAGTTCTGGCAACATTCAGCTGGTTGACTGCGTTACCTTGCTATTCAGCTTCATTGTTGTGAAACTGTTTGCC